CGACGCAGCCCCGCGCGGGCAGCACCAGAACTGGTCGGTGATTTAGGTAGTTTCCTGTTGTTGGGATCCACCTTTCTCTCGACAGCACGACACTGCCTTCATTACTTCAGTTGAAATCGTCTCCAGGTACCTGTGCGCGCCGGGGCCGGGCCGGGCGGGGCATCCAGGCTCTGGTCGTGCCAGGCCTATGGTGGCAACCTCGGCTTTTCCCACGCAGGAGCCTCGTCCCTGCCTCCTTCTCAGCTCTGCCAGGCTGCTGGACGCACCCCCAGCCCCACCTGGCCTCAGCAGGTAGGGTCAGGTTAGCTGTGCCCAGCGGACGCCGGGGGCGTGGTAGGAATTCTGGGCCCCGGGCCATTCAAGGTCAGGGGCGCACACTTCCATCCTGGGCCTCCCCAGCTCCTGGCTTGCGCCTAGCCAGCGACCCCGCCATCCTCCTGCAAAGCGAGGACAGCCTCAACCCCAAGCCAGGGTAGGAAACAAGGAGAGATCCCTGGGCCCGTGAAGACTCAGGCCGAAGTAGAAGGGACCGGGCAGACGGGCTGGGTCCTGGCCTTGTCACTTACCCTTCCTCTTGGAGCCGCTTTCGGCTCCCAGGAGTCGCCTTTGACTCTTTCCTTCCTTCCCTCCTGCCTCTTTTTTCTACTTTATGTCTCCTTCCTTTCCTTCCATTTCCTTTATTTTTGTTTTTTCCTTTGGTCTCTGTGTGCGTTTCTTCTTCGGTCTCCACCTCCCTTCCTCCCGGGTCCTTCCTTCTGGCGCGACCCAGGCTGGCCTGGGGGGAGCCCGGGTGGGGGTGGGCGCCCTGTTTTTCTTGCGCGCTCAAGTAGAGGCCGTCCTCTGCCCAGGCAGGGCTCGCGTGGGGCGTCTGTCGAGGGCTGTGGATCTGAGCGCAGACAAGGCCTCGGTTACGATCACGACCGGATGGCGGCGGCCTTGCGTTCCTGCTCCACGGGTCCGCCGCCGCCGCCCCGGAGACCCGGTCAGGGGGCATTCGCGGCGGCTTTTGCAAGGAGGCCTTCGCCAGCTTCGCTGGGGGCCTGAGGCCGGACCGGGCTGAGGCCCAGCTCAGGCGCAGGGAGCCGGGCCACGGAGGGAAGTCTCCGGAAGCTTCCTAGGCCTCAGCTCGGGCTTTAACCGCGATAAGGGAGTCCCGCCTGGGCAAAGATTGGCTGCTTGCTTGCCAGTAGCCTCTCTCAGGTTCAGAGTAGGTTGGATGTGGCATCCTTGTGCCTACGACTGACTGCTGGAGATGGGGACCCTTCCAGCGCCAGTGTTTCAAATAACAGGGGGAAGGAATTCTGAATTCCGGAACCATTGGAATACAAAGTTGAGTCCTTAATCCAAGTAGTAGTCCACGACGGGCTTATTTTCATTATTACTGGGAACTGAAAACGACCTCCATCCCTTCCCAACCCCCCCACACCCCCGCCCCGGAGCCCTTCAGACTGTTTGCCTCTAGCAGGACTGCCCTTCCCGGCTCAGCTCTGCGCCCAGGGGCTGTTTCCACCGCTCAGCCCCGGGTCCTGTTATCCGAAAGGCCCACACGGTGTTACCCTCAGCTCCTCTTTGTCATTTTCAGGACCTGAGAATTGGATTTGTTTTGAGGGCCAAGGTTTTAGAACTCTGGGGCAAAAAAGAGATCGTCTGTAATCCCACTCATTATTTCTTTATGCACACGCAAGCCCGTTTACTTCCAAAATAAACGCAGACACAAAACCCGAATAGTCTCCCCTTAAACCTCTGGGCTGAAGAGGGATAATTTTGGTTTTGTGATCCCCCCCCCCATTCTAGGCACCAGTGAGGACGACTTGACACGCAAGCCCTTCTGATTACTTAATAGCATCCTACGTGGGGGCTAAGGCTATTTAAAGGATGGCCTTATTATTTCTTAAAAATACTATAAATAATTCGTGTCTTCTCTGGGTAAAAAAAAAACAAAAAACAACAAACAAAAAAAACACAAAACAGTGCAAAAGGCAGCCAGGCGTGTCCAGCCCGTTTGCAGACAATTACAATTAGGAGCAAAGGTTTCCTCCCGGATTAATTTTTCCTAATGAAAATCTCAGAAACCCCCGGAACTGCCCCATATTTGGGACCTCCTTGGGCTGCGGAGGGAGTGGGAATAGCGCGGAGGAATTTGCAGGGAAAGGAAAATATCGGGGCGGGGGAGGGGGCTGAGGCGGCCGGGCCGGCCACGTCGGAGTTCACTGGGGCGGCCACCTCCCTCCCCCGGCAGGGCGCGGAAAGGGGCGCGCGGTCGGTCTCTGCGCGGTCTCTCAGCCTCGCAGGCAGAGCCCGGCATTTGAGGGTGTCCCCCCCGCTCCCGGGGCGGGATAGAGATGTTTCAGGGTTTGGGACTGTTGGGGCGGGCAAGGCAGAAAGAGAGGTGGAAGCCGCCACGGCCGCCCGCCCTCGCCGCCAGGGAAGTGGGCTAATGAAAAACACACTCTTGCAGGCACAGTGTTCACACGTGAATTTAATTACCCCGGTTTTAGTAGGCGCTGCTTTCCTTTTGTGTTTGGTGTGGGTTGTTTTTTTTTTTCCCTTCCAATTAGCAAAGAGGCCGAGGCCTTTCAATTTACCTCCGAAAGACTCTAAGGGGTGAGAATCACCCTCCTCAATGTGGTCAGGCTGAATGATGGCATTAAAGTCAATGCCCCGTGCCCCACCCCGTTTTAATTTCTGGCCCTGGACTTGAGCTGCGGCCGCCTCACTTTGGGCCTCGTAGCTCCGCTGAGCCGCCCGGCCGCGTGGGTAACCCAGGCGGGCCCGCCGGGGGCAGTGGCCAGGAAGGAAGGAAGGGGGGAAGGAAGGAAGGAGGGAGACCCGAAGGATTCATGCTGGGCCCGGGGGCCAGCCTCTCCGGTGCGGGCCTCCCAGCTACTGAGCCACCGAGTCTCTTAGGCCGCACTGGCCTTTTATTAAGGCTGCCTCGTGGTTCTGTGCTCTGGTTAGGGGCTCAGCATCAGGGCCTCTGGGG